AGCTTGATGACGGGGCATTGCTGCGCGCCACCGGCGCCTTTCCCTTGCCCAGGCTTAAGCTGGATAGGTCCCCAACCAGGGACTCTGTACCAATAGCCGGGTGTCAGGGTGGCCCTGCCCGCGTTGTACCTGGTGAGCGTGACACGAGCGGCGGCTCGGGCGCCGTCTGCGCCTAGGCTGCTGGTACGTGATGTCATCATCGATCGGTGGGGCTCTAGGCGTGAGGAGTACCATATCGTACTCACATCCTAGAGACATGAACTCTATGCTCCCGAACCAGATCACCGTGCCGAGACGTAGCGGTCGCACGGGGTCTGCCATCCGGAACTTGTTGGGATGATTAAGCTAACACGCAGTGTGTCCCCTACCTAGCGCGCCAACTGTCGGTGTTTCGGACCGGCGGGTCCTCAACCAACGAGTGAAAATGTACTGCGTGTCCCTAATCCCGGATGGTGATGCAAAGAGACACAAGGTTTATACTAGTTCAGGCAATAGGTGCACTACGTCCAGTCTAAGAGAGCGATCTTGTATTCCTTGCATCGAGGTGCTTGTAGTAGGGGTTTACAAGCAGGGCGAGAGAGGGAGTTAGTCCTAGGTCTCTACGTGGAGCGGCGTGGGTTGCTTGAGATATTGATCTCTCGCGGTGAGGGAGCATGCATACTATAGAGTGTTGCTGATTGCTTGTGCGTGTGTGTCTATCTGAGCGATGTCTCCGTGAGTGCCCTTTCTAGAAACGGCCCCGGTCACTCCCTTTTATAGTTGAAGGGGGGGGACAGGGGCGATACATGTGTTCGCTACGTGGCGTTTTGTGAGCGGAGGCGGTATGTCCAAGCCCTGCAGCTCGTTACTATGGCGGTATGGTCGATGGAGCGGTCCTGTCCTTGGTACTCTAGAGCGACGCGCCGGTCACGCCTGGTCTTGTGCGACGTGGGAGCTCCTGTGGTGGCAGGCGTACCTTCTTCTGTTGGAGGCGTGCTAGTCGCTGTATGTTTGACCGGCGTGGAGTGCCGAGGCCGGGTTGATGCGATGGTGCAGGTGTGCTGACTCCGAGGATACAGGAGCTCGGCCCTGTGCGCGACGTGGGAGCTCCTGCAGCCTAACGTAGGGTATGGCGCGTTCTGTGGGCGACGTGTCGAGGCCCAGTCGATGCAGAGGCTGGACTGTCGTGGGGGGCTCGGTGAGCACGAGTCTCGAGGCTACAGGAGCCCAGAAGCGGATAGCCGAGGCTCGGAGGGAGCAGTTGGTCTTGTTCGTTGATTCCGAGGCTACAGGGACCTAGACTTGACGCTCCATGCCGCGCTGTCCTTGGAGCAGGTGGGGTTAGGCAGCACAGTGCCACATGGGTGTTAGTCATGGGCACAGTGCCAAGCACAGCGGCCGGTAACCCCTGCCCCATCCTATCCCAGACTGCATGGCGCCGATGTGACTCCCGTTCTGTCGGCCACTCCGCTGTACTGCACCGACGTGTGGCTGACGTTGCGGGAGTGGTTGGACGCATTGGTCGGGTGTCACATCCTGTCAGGGAAATTGGTCAAGGCGGTGGTGATGGGGTCGATGCCGAGCCGGCCTCGAGTGAGTCGGTAACTAAGAGTTTGTCCGAGGCCTCGTGGCGCAGGGCCTCGAGCGAATCGGAGAATAGGTACCTCGTCCGAGGCCTTTCGGGCGGGGCCTCGGGCGAGGCGGAGAATCGGTACCTCGTCCGAGGCCTTGCGGGGTGGGGCCTCAAGCGAGGCGGAGAGTTGGTACCTCGTCCGAGGCCTTGTGGCGTGGGCCTCGGGCGAATCGGAGAATTGGCCGAGGCCTCATGGTTGTCTCTTGGCTTCGATATTTACAAGGTCTAAGCAATTTTTTCCGGTTCTTGCTTAGGGTACCCCTTTCTATGGTATCCGACAATGTAACAGGCTACCTACCTAGGGAAATTACATAGCCTAGTAAGAGCAAGACGCAAAAAAAATTTAATATGCATTTTATAATGTCTTCTTTTAATGGTTGTTAATTTACCTGGGTTGCTGAGGCCTTATTCCGTGAAGCCTACTCGCCGGAAAGGTGCGACAGGTGTTTAAACGTAATAGGCTACCTACCTAGGGAAATTACATAGCCTAGTAAGAGCAAGACGCGAAAAAATTTAATATGCATTTTATAATACTAGGACATACTTCCAACTTGATATCTTGTGTATCAATTATTACATACTTTCGTATGATTACTTTGCAGGGAACCATTTTCTGGACCACGTCATCAAATAAGGAGCTCGCCCACCGCTGGCTGCCTTACTTGGCCACTACTTCGTTGGGTGAGACACACGGCCCGCGCTGTCTTACTCGGTTGCTGCTCTACAAGTCGCCAGGACGTCCGACTACTCGGCCGCGGTGATCGACTACTCGGTTGGGGTGATCAACTACTCGACAGCTAAGGTCGACCTTGTTGCGGTGATTTGGAAATTCTAAGGTGGGGGTGATACGGGGTCTCCGGTGAGGTCTCCGGTGAGGGGACTACCCACCCGAAGCCTTTTGACGGATTATCTAGGTTGCCTTACTCGGATCGGATCATGGTCGAACGAGAAGATTTTGCGTCAGCAAGATGAGCACGAATATGAGGATGCACGTGCATATTTATATGTACTTTCATTACTCAAGCGAAACAAAGGAAGAGGCATGATATACAGCAGCATGCAAGAAGACATCAAGCACGCAAGCTAATTATGGAAAGTACTCGGTGGCGCAACTGTGTTGACTTGCAATGGTATATGGATAGCCTACTGCAGTTCACGGGTTACTTGGATACACCCTTGAGAATGTCTACAAGATCCTACATATCCTTAGAAGAGGTTTTCAATTCTTTGAATAACTCAGATTCAAGACCCTTCAACTTTTTGTTCCAAATAGCAAGAGGCTCGGGGGCTACACTCAGTGAGTGCACTTTTTTCTTCCAAAAAGCGCACATCACTCAGAAGACTTCTTCAAGACAGAAGTTTTCAAATAATATAAGATTCAAGACCCTCCAACTTTTTATTCCAAATAGCAAGAGGCTCGGGGGCTACACTCAGTGAGTGCACTTTTTTCTTCAAAAAAGCGCACGTCATGAAGAAGACTTCTTCAAGACAGACCACTTCAAGGCCTCACGACAAAAAGAACCCGACACTTTTTGTTCTAAATAGCAAGAGGCTCGGGGGCTACACCAAGATGGGAGTACTTTTTTCTTCAAAAAAGCACACACCACTCAAAGATCCCAAGAAGCGCTACATGGTTTCACTCAAGAAAGCACTCGGGCGACGCTTGTTCCTGCTCGGCAAGACCTGGAGGAACAAGACAAGGCTTCCGGAGTTCAACCATGAAGTGCTCGGGGGCTTGTCGATGCGGGACCCACGGGATACACCGCAAGAAAGAGAGGAGATCTAATTTGATTATGATTCCTCCCATGTAATCTTAGTAGTAATACTACCATGTAATCCTACTAGGACTCTACATTGTAAACCGACTAGGACTCTAGCCTCCTGACTATATAAAGGAGGGCATGGCTCCTTAGATCTGGAGGTAAAAAAAGAGAGCAGAAGAGAGTTAGAGAGACAACACTTTACAATGAATCGGGTCTGATCAAGGTTAGGAATATAATGCTTAATATTTTTCATGATTTAGCTTAAATGTGATTGAAATGAAATTTGAAGTTGGTTTAGGATCCAATACCAATGCTCCTTCACAATTATTTTACAAAAAAATAGGCACAAATAGTTTTACGAAATTTCCAAACTCATTTAAAACTCAAAAAACAAATTGATTTCATATTTGAACTAGGTTTTTGAATCATTAATGATTTAGCAAACTCATAAGCACATTAAATACATATGCTTATATTTTTATGTACGTTTGAGGAAAGGTTTTCCAAAGTGGTATTTAAAATCTATACAAGAAAAATATTATATTTACTGAAATTTAAAATTTTCAACCTTTTAGTAAATTTTCTGACATGTTAAATTAATGGATCATAAATTTTACATCATTCCTTTTATATCATATACTTTTATAGACGATGCAAAAACCTATATTTAGATGTAGGACCTTTGTCCATAGGTAGGCCATATATACTTGCTTTATCCATGCTATAATTTATAACAATACAAATTTGTCATAGGTACTAACCGAACAGTAGTAACAGCAATATGTTGTCACAATATTGTAGTGTACTAGTCTATAACGTTTTTAGTTTGGCCTTAGTGACGGTTTTTGTGACGTTTCGTAAACTATTTGTCAATATTTTGACTTCATACAAATTCTTACTACACGTTCCAGAGAAAAACATCATAAATCCAAGGCCATGGGCGGTGGAGGCCCTTTGTTGTGCGGAGGTGGGGGCTTTGGCAGAGAGTCATCCTCCCTCACTCATAGAGCCCATCGAAGGGTAAATTCATGACCCATCCTTGAACTCGGTAAAGGTATCATTCTGATTTTGAGTCTCGTCGGCTCCAAATAGGTCTAATCTAATGTGTACGTTGACATAGCATACTGATTGTGTATTGATGTGGACTTGACATGTAGGGTCACTTGTCAAGTACAAAGTAGAATCCTTGAACGTGGCCTACCGTACATACTAGATTATTAGACATGAGGAGAGAAAGCCATGGCCATTTGGATACCATCAAACACATGAAACAAAGTTTAGAGATCCAAAAATATCAATTTTAGAGTACATGTCACAACTCGGTCGTGCCTAATAATTATCTTAAGCATCTAAGGGTATTTAGCACTTAAAATTTTCTCTTTTTTTCAAAAAACTTGCATATCACTTTCTACACTTCTTGGGCGCTGCAGTGTTCTCCCGAATGGTCCGGTACACCTTTTGCGAATCCGTGAATCCAACCATGTTGACAAGATCACAATTACTACATCTAGAAACAGAAGTGAACGAAGAACAATGTAGCAACTACTATAGGTGCTCGATAATATTATGAAGATAGAGTCATTGAAAAATTAAAGACGGAATGAAAGAACATCCCGCTGGACGCTTCAGTTGGTTGGTCGCCGCGTAGCCCTGAGGATATCAGTCAGCACAGAGGGGCAGCTTGCTTCCAGGTGCTTGTACCCCTCAGTCTCCAGGACGGCGTCAAGATATCCCGCGATGAACTCGACGCAACTAGCCTTGAGCTGCGAGCAGCCATGCTGCTCCGCTAGCGCCAGCGTCGTCGCCGCCGTGTCGACGGTGATGCGGTCAGCGAGCCTGCCCTCGCAGATGAGCTTGAGCCTCTGCAGCCCGTACCTGTCCGCACCGGCGAGCAGATGCTGCGCCCTCGACGTCGCGTCCTCGCCCTTCTGGTCCAGGTCCAGCGCCGTGCCGGTGTAGATGAAGCGTAGCAGGGCCTTGAACGCCGCGGGCTCCATGTCCTTCACCTCGATGCGCTGGCACGCCGCCTCCTTCATTCCCCCGAACAGTTCCGCCATGAACACCGGCGACCTCGAGGCAAGAATGGCCTTGTGCGCGGCGAACTCCTCGCCGGACACAAGGAACGTGACGTCCGCGCCCGTCCCCTTCTGCAGGAGCTCGCCCAGGTGCCGGTGCAGGTCGAGGGACGGCAACGCAGCGTCTGGGCGGCGATCGCGATCCATGGCCGTCGCCGCAGTATTCGGCGCCGCCGGTGCTCCTTTGAGCACGGTGATGCCAGATTGCACGGTGTAGGAATCATCCGCCAGGTAGCCAGATGCCTCCAGATCCTCTCGTGCCGTCACCTCGAGTGCACCGGAGTAATCCCCGGACTTGTAGAACTTATGCGATATGCTCTTCTCCTCCGACGGCTCCAGCCTACCGGCTGGATCAACCAGGCGGCAGCTGAGCTTGGCTTTGACGTCACCGCCGCGCGCTTCGGAGAGAAGGACGAGATTGAGCGACACCGGCCGATGGCAGCCGGCCCAGTGATTCTTGGGACGCCAGTGGACCTCCCAGTCGTGGCCACCGACGGACAATTTCTTGGACTTGATCAACTCGCCGTCGCTCATGGCCATGGTGACCGAATGGCCTACCACCTTGAGCAGGAGGTCCTTGGAGCGGGCAACCTCGGTGAGGTTTTGCATTTGCATGGTGGGTGATTGGATGACTGGGATTTACAGTTCTACACTAGCTAGTCTCTATAGTAGTAGAAGTGGCGACGGCTCGGGTGCTGCGTATACACGCCGTTCGAGACGAGGTCAGGTTGACCACTACGAACGTCGTAGCTTTGTGTGACCTTTCAAATTCCATGCTGAGTAGTCCTCCAAAAATGCATGCATTTAACTTCTGGCTAGCACTGTGTGACCGTTCAAATTCCATGCTGAGTAGTCCTCCAAAATACTTGACTAATATTTGTTCAAGACGGAGGAGTTTTCATATCAAGCAGAAGAGTGCGTTTCTTTGGCGTGTAAGAATTTATTCTAGTTTTTGTCGCTCCATAGTTTGTAAGAAGAGAGTCCGAATTTGGACATAGCAACCAGAGAATTGTACGAGTTTAGAGCAAGTATAATAGCAGGCTATAAGCTGGCTAAATGTTGAGGTGAAGAAGAGAGAAGAAACAGGCTGTAAGCTTACAGCTAGTTTGGGCACAAGAACCGAGAAACTTGGTGAGAAAGATAAGTAGGCCATGTATTAATAATGAAGAGCTATATGATAAGCTGAGAGAAGGCTACAAAAAAAAACTTACAGCTAGCAAGCCGGCTGTATTATTAGCCTCTTAGTTCTTGCTCCGGACCTCTAAACCATATAGGGCGAGGAAAAGTTTATCATTAATATTCTTATTAATGGTAGGCTTTATAACTTTGCCACGTTCACACTAGTACGCAAACGATTTTTAGAGTTCCCTTCAACTTTTTCTAAGTACCATGCACGTAAAAAAACGATTTTAGTAAGAACGAGTAGCACAGTGGCTAATGAATCGTCCTACAAATATATTTCTAGAGACTGATCATTTAAGTGGACCGACCGAAGAAATACACTTATTTTCAGAAATGGTTACATTAAAAGAGCCGTACCTAGAAAATATAATTATTAGGAGCGACTACCTTAAGCTGAACGCCCCTAGAAATATGACTAATTTTTTGGACGGTTGTTTAAGAGCATCGCACCTAAAAGTGTTATTTCTAGATCTGGCTCCCAAATTCGAATTAGACCTGGAAACCGAACCACTCTCTCCACCATTATTTCTCTCCTTTGTCTTATCTCTTGGTGTGCGCATGTTGTGCAAGTATATCTCTCTTTTGCGTTTTGCCTCATCTCTCCTCCGTTATTTCTCTCCTCTTAATCTCTCACTTATCTTTCCTTCCTTACTCTTTCTCCTTCACGCAGCCATGGAGGCGAAGGTGGAATGTGGCTCCGTGCAAGGCACACATGACTCCAACTCCAGTTGGCGCGACGGCGCAGCCGCGCGGGATGGAGCAACGTCGCGGGCTAGCCGGTGCGGCTGCACAATGGCATAGTGTGTAGGTTGGAGTGGCAGCACAGCGCGGCAGGCTAGCACGGTTGAGCAACGGTGAGCTTACCGGTGTGGCAACGACAGGCTGGGCTACCACAGCGGAGCAACCGCAGACTAGCGGGCAATCAACTCCTTTTTTTTGTGTGTATGTGTTTGAAAATTATTTTTAAAGTCGGGTTTCTGACCGGCAATGCAAATATATCTTCAGTAGCGGTGGTCGTAAGACAACCATCCTTAGACATTATTTCTAGAATTGGTTCGCTTAAGGCAACCCGCTCCTACTAGAATAATATTCTTAGAGATAGCTCATGAGTCACCAGCGAAGGTGCTCTTACCATGCATTTTTCTTCTCTGTCTTCCTCTCTCCTTCATCTCAACATAAAGTCGACTTGCATCCCTTTATTATACTTGTGTAACACAACAATATTCCACATCCACCGCCACCCAGCCCGCCAGGGGACCTGATGCTCTAGGCCGCCAATCTCCACCCACTCTAACACTCCCCCCCCCCCACCCACCCAACCCCCACCCCACCAATGGCACACTCCTTACAAATTGCAGTTTAGAAATCTGAAGATCACTTTAGTCGTAAAGGAAGACTGAGCTGAGCCAGATGTTCGGCTCCCCGGTCTATCGAGCTAGAGTATTTCCAATAGAGATCCTAAACATGTCCTTACTCTTACTTTTTTGCGCAAAAAAATCACTTAATCCAGCAGGGCCCCAACTTAAGTCCCTACTCTATGGAGGTCCCCAAATTTTTCCATCAGCCCCATCTACTATGAGTGCACAGGAAGCCCCCTACTTCTCCTAAAAATTCTTTTTCGCACCAACTCCCTCCCGCGCATCTTTTTTTTTCTTCCCTACTATGTCCCGTGTCACCGCCCTATTCACTCCTACCACGTGACCGCCGAGGCCAAGCCCATCCCTTCCTGTTGAAGTCCTCCCCTCCAGCCATGCCGCCACCGAGGCCAAGTCCACCCCTCCCATCGAGGTCCTCCTCCCCAGCGAGATCCTCTTCTCTGCCACTAGGTGGGGACAGCAGCAAGGGAATAGGAGAGGGAAATAAAAAAATAATGAGCAATGTAACTGACAAATAGGTCTAAAAAAATAAGAACCCTAATTCGAAGGTCACTGGGTCTAAAACAATAGGAACCCTAATTTGAAGGTTACTACTGGAGTTGAGCTCAATAAAAAACCCATTAGAAGTAGGAAAAATCCTCAAAACCTAAATAAATAGAGACCCTATTTTAAGGACTATTGTTGAAGTTGCTCAACTGTCACACATAACTTTGGTTCTCATTTTCGAAACACCAAACACAAGCGGCCAGGACTGATTCACGTCATAAGCTGCTGCCTACTGCCGCAAATTATAAATTACTATATAGTCACTTTAGTTTTTGTCCTAAGTTTAACTTCTTTAATTTTAACTAAATCTATAGAAATATATACCAACATTTACACCACCAACTAGTTTCAGTCAATCTATCATGCAATATATCTTACACTTATTTGGTATTTATATATCAATATGTATTCTATAAACTCTTGCACTTATTTGGTGTTTCTATAAACTTGATCGTAGTTTAAGAATTTTAGCTTATAACAAAGCAAAAGTGAATTGTGATTTGGGAGGAAGTACATGATAACCAGCATGGAAGGCAAGGCAGCAACGCCACGCCAAAGGCAAAAAAGTCCAGATCATTCTGCATCTATTCTTCAAGCAGCGAATTCTGAAACCTACAAACAGTTGGTATAGGTAGAGAAGGTAAAAAACAACTTCGAGCCTACTGCATAGACCATTGTGTGGCGCCAACATCATGCCACGAACTGGTGACCACAAACAGTAGCATGCTGTACCCAATTGAGAATGCTACAGAACAAATATCCAAAATACTCTCAATGACTCATAGAATCCTTGTCAAAAAAAAAAAAAGATGACTCATAGAATGTGCTGATTGAATGTATGCCGAGGGTCCCATCACATGTGACTGGTTTCAGCTCACAGGTTGTGGGGCTGGCTCTGCGGTGGCTGGTGCAGGTCTTTGTTGAAGGAGAGGCGAAAGCGCCTTCACAACTATGCTCATGTTGGGCCTGAACTCTGCTTCGTATTGCACGCATAGAGCTGCCACTGCAGCAAGCTGCAGGGAGAGTCCAAGGGATTACATCAATAAAAGATGGCCAAATTAACGTAAAACATCATTCACAGAGACATGTACGAGGGGGTAAAATGTCAACCTTAGCGACTCCCTTTGGAGGATATTCTCCCTTCAACCTGGGATCCACACATTGCTTCACCTTGTCTTCACTTAACCTTGGAGTAGCCTGAAAGAAACAAACAAATGTACATAAAAGTCAGAATGAATACTTCCCTACCTTTTTCTGATCTAGCTTCTGGGGTTTACTGACAAAAGACCATCACCAATTCTGACCCGATAAGAATCAGTTCTCGCTTTTCAGTAAGACTTGGTGCCTAGATACTAATTGGGTGATGAACAGAACCTGAGAGTGGCTTGATTTGCCTATGTTCCTACCCAAGTAACATCTAAACAACTAGGCCTTTTTTAGAAACCAAGTCAGTATGTCAATAGCAGTATCCAGTAAAAACTAGGCTATTTTTGCAAAACCATGTCAGTATGGCAATAACAGTATTATTGTACAACAACACATAAGCAACCATTCTCCAATGTAAGTTAGCAAAATAACTTACCCATGTCATCTAAACAACTAGGCTTTTTTTTAGAAACCAAGTCAGTATGTCAATAGCAGTATCCAGTAAAAACTAGGCTATTTTTGCAAAACCATGTCAGTATGGCAATAACAGTATTATTGTACAACAACACATAAGCAACCATTCTCCAATGTAAGTTAGCAAAATAACTTACCCATGTGACTAAACTTTGTTGTCCTCGAGGCATTGTGTGATCTACTGGTTTCCTTCCAGTCAAAAGTTCCAAAAGAACTACACCAAAGCTGTAGACATCGCTTTTCTGTGTCAGCTGGCCAGTCATAGCATATCTGTACCAAGTAGCGCCAAATTTAGAAAGGCAGAAAGAAAAATCAGGGCTTTAAATATTTCTACAGTTCATGCATAAAAAAACTATTTTCACCACAATGTTACAATATAAATCCTTGATCTTGCTAGATTTATGGTACTGTAACCCTATCATTAGTTGATTAATTAATTATAATATGAAGCAACATTAATAACAAATCAACCAATGTAATCAATCCAAAATAACCAATCAAGGGCAGAAACAAATGTAAGCTTGGTATTCAAAAGTTTCAAAAGTTCATGGATAAAAAAATTATTTTCACCACAATGTTGCAACATAAATCATTGATCCTGCTAGATTTATGTTACTGTAACCCTATCATTAGTTGATTAATTAATTATGAAATGAAGCATCACTAATAACAGATCAACCAATGTAGTAAATCCAAAATAACTAATCAAGGGCAGAAACAAATGTAAGCCTGGTATTCAAAAGTTCCAAAAGAAATGTCAGCATGTCTTGATAGCAAAAGGCATGAACAAAGCATGCAGCCCATATTATCTTGGGCACACTATTGAAATCAAGAAAACGCCTTATCAAAAAAAAATCAAGAAAACAAAAAAAAGGAGGCGAGCCTCTTGCA